AATTGTTCAAAACTGGAGCAGACAAAAACTGGAGCAGATTTGCACTGCATCCAATCAGCTTCTCTGCCTCATTTTCAAATCTTACCTGAGCAAACTGAAGAGAGATACTGATTGGTTGCCATGGGCATCTGCTCCAGATTCTGTCAGCTCCAGTTTTGATAAATTCCCCCTACAGTATCTCACAGAAGTGAGTACATCCCTCACATTTTTGTAAATATTTTTATTATATTTCATGTGACGACACAGAAGAAATTACACTTTGCTACAATGTAAAGTAGTGAGTGTACAGCTTGTATGTCAGTGTACATTTGCTGTCCCCTCAAAATAACTCAACACACAGCCATTAATGTCAAAACCGCTGGCAACAAAAGTGAGTACACCCCTTTTATGTAGAGCAACAATTTTTTTTTCAGATCCTCAGAGAGTTTTTTGCCATGAGATGCCATGTTGAACTTCCAGTGACCAGTATGAGAGAGCGATAACATCAAATTTAACACACATGCTCCCCATTCACACCTGAGACCTTGTAACACTAACGAGTCACCTGACAACGGGGAGGGAAAATGGCTAATTGGGCCCAATTTGGACATTTTCACTTAGGGATGTACTCACTTTTGTTGCCAGCAGGACGTTTTTAAATGTCCCCGGGAACATAAAATAAAACTTTTTTTTTTAATACTCACCTGATCCACCGCCAAGTGCAGCCTCCCGTCTCCCACGCTGTCAGAAGCTTGCGCGCGGCTGTGTGTTCACACAAGTACCGGCCATACCCCCCTGATGGCGGTCATGGCCGGGAACTCGGATCGCGACCCCCCTGTTCACTTGCGGGACCCCATATGGGGTCGCGACCCACACTTTAAGAAGCACTGGTATAGAGGACTACAAATCCCAGCAATAATATATTATACAGCGCAATGCGGAATACCGCCAGCTATAATGTACTATTGCTGGAGGTATTCTGCATTGCGCTGTATAGAGGACCACAACAAATCCCAGTAATACATTATACAGCGTAATACAGAATACTGCTAGCTTTAATTACTATTGCTGGAGGTATTCTGCATTGCGCTGTATAATGTATTACTGGGATTTGTAGTCCTCTATAGCCAGTGCCAATCTGCATTCATTGCTGTATAATTTTACACTTTCCATTTCACTATATTGCACACCACACTTTTTTTTCTTACTTCCACCGCTCCAAGCTTGCTCCTGTGATGGACTACAATCTCAATACAAACTAGTAGTCCATCACTGGAGCCTTTTTTTTTAATCCCGATTTAACCGGTTAATCGAACTCAATAATCGGCTAACTAATCGATTTTGAAAATTATCGTAACCACTATTACCTACTCCCCCTTTCACGCCCACTAGCAGGTGAAATCCCCTCCACTAGAATGTCCCCCTTGCAGTGCATCTCATACATTAATAACCCATTATTAGGAATCTCTTTTATACGAGTTGTCAGAGTATCTAACAGTTACTATTATATAACCACTCATTTCCCTTTTCTCCCCATCCCTTCTCCTTTCCTTCCCCCTTCTCCTCCTTCCCCTTCTGCCACAGCCTCTCCAGTGACCCCCAGATGTCATCCGAAATGGTATAGTCGACAAATTGGGGGTAGTCCTACTTCATTCCCCCCTCACTCCATATCACTTCCCCTTCCTATTTCCAAGACTTTATAGCTGTTCAATACATAGAGAATTTGAGATTGTATTTTTATTCCATGCT